AGAAGACACAATGAAAACTCCTTAATCTCACAACGCATGGACAGACTCAACCATAGTTTCAACTGGGAAACTGTCAGCATTTTAGACCAAGCTAAATCCCAAAACATGAGGGAATTCCTGGAAGCTTGGTATTCAGACAAGTCAGCCATCAACAGGCACATAAACAACATTTACACACTGTTCAAAAGAGACAAAAGGAAACAAAAAAACATCTCACCAGTAATCAACCTCCAGATAAGCAGGGATTAACACCAGACAATCAACCAGTAAACAATACCCTAATCAAGGAACTACCAACTCAGACAATCAAGCAGCAAACAACAGCCTAATCAAGGAACTACTAAGAAAAAAACACACACCCACCAACACTGGCAGGGCATGCCCCTGTATATAAACAGAGAGCAAACCCCATTCCCTTCTAGCACTGAAGATGTTACCCAGCTGGGTAACAAAATGTCTGCAAGAAAACAACCAAGCTCAGAGAACCCCAAGGACTCCACATTTGCTATTTGCCTGCTAGCTCCCTCCCTTCACACAAAAACACACACCCCAATATGGCTCACAAACAGCTGTATATAGAACAATGCACACTGGATGTAACTGAGCCCCAGATCCCAAGCTAGAGTAGACTAATTTGGAACACATTTTTATTTACCTGAATTTACCAGAAAAGTCTGAAGGTGTTCCATTCTGTTTCTATTCCTGTGTAAGGCTACAATCTGGAACTGTTTTTCTGGAGTGTGAGAGGTGTGAGAGGTGGTGTCAGGGCTGTTGTGCCAAAAAGAAAAGTCTATGGTAGGGAAAGGAGGAAACTTTTTTCAGTGATAACAGGTCTGCTCTTGAACCAGAATGACTCTTGTGAATCAGTTGTCCCCTTTTTGAAGATGGAAAAGTCTTTAGGTATGCCATTCTTACCTCTTGCCTAATAATCAGTGATATTCTTATTCAGGGAGGAGCACCATAATTGCTTATGAAAAAACATTCCCTTTGCACAAGGCTTCCTCCTCGAGGTTTGGCTTGATTATTCTTCATCACAGGAGCTATTATAGCTCCAGATTCTATCACATTCTATCCCAAAACAACAAAGTTACAGATACTTTTTAAAAAGTTTTAAAATGTAAGAGTTGAAAATCCATCTATGGACCAAAATCCTATGAAACGTATGTTTCTTCTACATATACAAAGCTAACCTTACTGCAACTTTCATCTTATTCTGGCAAAAAACCCTCAAAATGTTCCCATCTCTGTTTTTCCTATGCTAGATTAGCAAGAAACCCCTCACTCCAATTGTAAATATTTAGTTGAACTGGACTGTCTTTGGACTAGCTCAGATAGTTTCTAGAGTTTTAATGTGGGTCCTGAATCAGATAAGATACTGTCTCTACATGCCTAGTTTAGAATTCAACAAGTCATTTGAATGAAGGCACATACTACTTCTACTGCATCAACTCAGCAAATGTAGCTTTAAGCAAGCCTTCAGTACAGGTAGTCCTTGGCTTACATCCATTTGTTCAGCGACCATTCAAAGTTACAGCGGTGCTGAAAGAATCGATGTACGACCAGTCCTCAGAGTTCCAGCCATTGCAGCACCCCCACAGTCGCAGGATTGTGGCTCGCAATTAAACGTCACAGGGAGCCGCAGTCACGTGATCACCATTTGTGACCTTCCCTGCCAGCTTCCCACAAGCAGTCAATGGGGAAGCCAGCAGGGAAGATTGCAAGTCACTCCAGTAAGTCACTCCCACTTTTTCACCTGCCTTTAGCACCCCCCACTGCCCATGCGCAGCCTCCACTGGTCTTCCCACAACTTTCATGAAGCCTGTGCCATGTCAGAAACCAATATAGAAGGAATAGAGATAAGTTACTTCCCTTCCTTTTTCAGATTAATGCTTACTGAGCATAACTTGCATGAAGCTGACAGGAAAGTTGGAAAGCTAGCTCTGCTGTTTTCCATCCTGTGATGATGTTCTGGGAGCAGATGCCTCTAACAGCTGAGGCTATATTGTTCAAGGCATTAAAAATCAATAATGTGATTTTAGTAACAGTGTTATTTAATCACTGTGGATTAAAGCATGTTAATGTTGATATTCACCTTTTTGAATCTCCGTTTAAATTATATATATTCCTGATTTAAAAGGAAGTAACCCCAATTCTTAATGTACTAAAGAACCCATTTTTAATTTTGTTGATCTAAAGCATTTGTTTTCTGCCCAAATTATTCTTCCCAATTCTCTTAATCTAATACTTGCACATAGTGCAAGTAATAGCACAAAACTCAGTTGTATATATATGTAATTCCATGATATTAATATACTTTTCTTCTTTGCAGATAGCTTTGTTGAATCCTATAGAGAATCCTCAGTTGGAGTTGGCTATTGTGATGCTGATAGTCCCCTTCTTTGTAAATGTTGGTATAAATAACACCTTCTGTATATTCATTGCGTTTTGTAATATTTGGAGTTCAAATATATTGTGGTGACACCCAAGAGACCTTTCTGTTAACCACAGAAGCTAGATTTGTTTAGTTTTTACAATATTAATTAGTTCTGGTGTATTGTTTGTGAAACTCTTCCTTAATGAATGACAGGAGTATTAGATTATTCCTATGTAAAACAAACCAACTTTTAAAAAGGCTGATTGTATTTTATGTGTGTGATTTTAAGAAAAATACAAAAAACAGTTGTAGGGTATCTCCCTCATCACTTTCATTTTATGAATGGAAAATAATTATTGACTGATGCTACATTAATCCATAAAATAAATATACAAATGAATGCAACAGCATTAAAGAGAAACACAACTTCAAAATTTATAAACACAGCAGTAAAACAAAGAGATGAAAGGAAAGGAAAGGAAAGGAAAGGAAAGGAAAGGAAAGGAAAGGAAAGGAAAGG